AATTAATTACATTCTGCCTATTATTGCCTGATTTCAGTAGCCTTAAAACATTTTCAATAAATCTTTCTCAAATCTCACACTTATATCTATGATAACCTAATTCACAACAAGGAAGAAATAATTATTTTTAATCTTTATTGAGCGCTAGACTTCTGCCACATTTTATGCCAAGGACTTTTGAAAAATTGCTTTGGATCTACTCTGTGAAGTACAGATTATCATGGCCATTTTATAGGACAAAAATTTGAGGCTTTGAGAGATGAGTATGTGCCTAAGACAATCATGGCAGAGTCACGAACCACAAAACTTTGACCCAAATGCCCATGCCTATCTCCTACTGACTATTCCCCCTAGAGTGATATATTTTTCATTGATCCTCTCGCTAGTTCATGTAACAACTTCAAGGATTTTGTAGTGTAACGACAACAACAAAAAGTCTAGAATAGTCTGGAGTGAGGCTTAGCAGGTTGAATTTTAGGCAAACTGGCCTGATTTGAATGGGTAGGTAACATTTCTTTGGATTCCTCTAAGCACAGCCTCGAGAACAGGAATATGCTCATCCAGTAGACTCTCAGGTCCAAGGTTATTTTGTGTGTTTCAGAGATAGAGGCTTGGGTGGAGTGTTGCCCTCATAGCTAACAGTAGCCTGAAAATCCTGGACTTAAGTGATCCTCCCACCTTGACTTCCAGTGTAGTTGGGACTGCAAGTGTGCTCTACCCCTTATCCCTCAACCTCAGCTAATTTTTAAAATTTTTGTATCTATGAAGTCTTCCTCTGTTGCCCAGGCTGATGGCAAACTCCTAGGCTCCATTGATCATCCTGTCTTGGTCTCCCCAAATGCTAAAATTATAGGCATGATCCACTCCTCCCAGACCTGAAAGATTTTTTATTATACCCTGTGTTGCTACAAAAATAAAAGCATCCTATGCAGAATTTACAATGTCTTTCTTGCAAATGTGCGTGCTTCCCTTTGTTTCAAAATTACTGCCATCATCTAATGAAAAAAATAGATTAAATTAATCAAAGGAAAAATTTAGGCTGAACATAAAAAAATTGTTAATAGTGAGATCCATTAGACTCTATTAGAATCCCCATTGGCTGAGTCATTTACAATAAGACTGCCATCCCCTGGAGATGACTCTGAGACAATCCCAGGCCCGAGGAGAAAGGAACATATGGAACCCACAGGACCCTCAGCCACTAATGTGGGTGATTTTTTTTCTGAATTCCCTCATTTTGCCTTCTTGTCAACAAATCCTGCCATCATTTCACTCACATCTTTGCAGCATTTTCCAGAGCTGTTAACAGAAATCATTTCACAGAGAGTGGGAAAGAATGTCATTTTGTCATTTTCTTGGGGGAGTACGGGGAAGAACAGGCAGTCTCTGCTTCCTATGGCTTTCGTGATGAAAAAAGAAAAGGAGAATGAGGCTTGCCTGCTAGTGGGCTGCAAGAAACAACTTTGTTTGGCAGCATTGTGCAGAATAGTGACTGGGAACTCCCTGATCAACCTCTCTCCTCACTAACTAGAAGAAAGAACAGTTTGGGACCACACTGATACCCCTAAACTTATTGTCACTAATGAGCTGTGTGAACTTAATCATTACATTATATCTAAAAGGTAAGAAGGACCTTAATGATCATCAAGTGTAACCTACTTCTTAATGCAAGAACTCCTTTTAATTACAGAATTCCTGTGAGATGGCCATTGGAAGCTCATTATTTCATTGAACTCTCCATCCCATGGTTAAGTTGTTTCATTTGTTAAGAAAGCCTTTTATCGAGCTAGGGCATTCATTCATTAGTATTTACTTTCCCCTTTGGAATAATAATAATGATGTATGACGAGAGTAGTAATTGTAATGATGATGATGCTGATGAGTAACAGAACTTTTTTTCTATGTGCTAGGCATGTAATAAAAATTTACATGTGTCTAAGTTCTTATTTATCACCATAAAACTTATATGTTATAGGAATTATGATTTACTCCTATTTTAAAGAAGGAAGGATTGAAACATAGAGTGTTAGAATGACCTCGTGAGGGCCACAATACTCAAAGGTGGAGAATTAAAACTCGAACCCAGTTCTGTTTGGTTACAGGACTCGATATACTGGACATACACAAATGCCTCTAGCTCCTTATTTAACACATTTCAATTACACTGTGTCCTTACTCCTCTTTTTTCCAGATTGCACATCCCAGCTTCCTTAAGTATTTCGTATTTAATATAACTTTCAATTGCCACATGATTATGGTAGATTTTATATTCGAAGTTTCTAGCTTTCTTTTCTAATGTATGGAAGCTAGAACTGGAAAAAATCCCAAAAATGTGGTTTGACAGGTGAGGCACATAGAAAATTCTATTGCTACCCTTCATCACCTTTCCAAACCAAGGTTCTGCCTTTGCAATAATTATTAATAGCAAAGATGATAATTGACATCAGAAGAACATCAAAATATAAAACTTTAAGGAGAAAAAAACACATATTTGAGAAAACCCTATTGTGGGTTTCAGATCAGAAGGGTTCTTTTTATTTGTTTGAAACATCATAATTTTCTCTGTAAAACTGAGTATGGACTTGGTTTAAATAATTTCTCTAGTCCATTTGGGGACGTAGTGCGACATCTCCCTCCACCTGTCAAAATTTGGGGTTCATGTGCTTCTGTCTCAGCTGCCTGGATGCAACCACACAGAGGATGCACCCCTCTTGTGGATTCGAGAGCTCCATTGTAAGTTTCTGACAAAGGTAACATTGCTAAGAGGAGCTCAGGCTTTCAAAATAGTCAGGAAGATAAACATGAACTAGGTGTGACTGTCTCTGGATGGCCCAAAAAAAGGGCAGGGCGCCAGAGAATGCGTAGGCACTATTTATTTACACAGCTATAATGGAAGTCAGGGTCACTACACAAGTCTCTGGTTGTGGAAGCCTTTCCCTGACACAGTCAGGTGAGCTCTGAGGTTGATGTGGAAATTGTACTGAACAAGAATGGGCCTTTGAAAAAATTTGAGGGGTAGATAGGGAAGTAAGCTAGCACGCTTTCAGTTAACTCATACACATTCCAATATAGGGGCCAGGGGAGAGCTCTTCTCTTGGCCCTCTGAAGTTTCTCCAAAAAGTCAACTCACAAAAGGCAGATTAATTGGATAGAAGGCACACAAATTCATTTAACATGTATACATGGGATCCTTCAGAATGAAGACCCAAAAATACAGAGAAAATTGTTCGTTTTTATGCTTATGTCCAACAAAGTATGGACAGCTATGTAGAAATATGATTAGACAAAAAGGGTAGGATCTAATGCTCATAGACTGGGGAAACCCAGCAAGGTCTGTCTATGGAGATACTTCTTGGCATCTCTGAGCATGCTTTCCTTCTGGGTATGGGGCAGGACTCTCACTGGAATAGGGATCTTATGACCCAAAGTAAAACAAGGCAGGTTAAAGAATTTCTTTCTGACAAAGCTTTTACAGAGAGTGTGGAGGGAAAGGGAGAGTGATGTTCTTAAGTCTTCTGGCTGGCTTTGGGGAAAGAGACCCTTGTTTCTATGGCCCGCCATGGAGAAAATGAATTTCAGTTTCTATGGCTAACCTCGAGGAAGAATGGGAGAAAAACTTTTGTTTCTGAGGTTGCTTCTGAGGCTTTCATTTTATGGTATTGTTTTCTGAGCCAAAACACAGGTAAGTAACAAGGCTGGTGCAAAAAGAAGCATATAGATCTCATTAAAAGGAACAGTAGCAGCAGCAGTTATTTTAGCTTTATAAACAGTAGTAGCAGCAGTTATTTTATCATTATAAAATGATACTGCTATGGAAAAAGAATAACATCAGTAATATGAGGAGTCCTACATGAAGATAAGGACAAAAGGGGAGCTTTGGAGTCAGGCTACTGCTATGCATTTCCATGTATTTTTCTATGTGGCTTTGTTGTCTATGGCAATACAGTTTGTGAAAATAAGTGAATCAAAATCTAAGCTGTTGGAAGTATAAATTATTTTGAGTCTTCAAGAAACATGATTACGGGGCCTGGTTTATGTGACAGGCAGTTGTAACCAAGGCAGTTGTAGCTTTGTTTCTCTGATTATAGATTAAGCCTTCTTTCTTGCCTTCACTATTTTGTAAAGTATTACAAATGACTGAAGGGTTCTGGGGAAGATCCTTTCTCCCTTTATTGTTGTTGATCTTCATTATAGATTAATTTCCCTCTCACCGGTCCCACACAAAGACTTCATGGCTATTGTAATGTATTTAGATGGAATGTTATGTATACTCTTTCAAACTGGAAAGGAAATGAAAATGAACTGTATGAAAAAGACTGTACTAATTAAATTGTTGTAACTCATAAGACAATCTTGTATAGAACATTTTGTATTCCTCTCAAATTTCTTTGTTTTCTGCCTATATAAGCAAGAACCTAACTTTTAACTTTGGAACACTGACCCCATTTCTCTGGAGTCTGTGTCTCTCTAATGGCGGTCCCCAGATTTTTGCTTGAATAATCTGAATTCTGATCTTTTTGATTATTTCAGGTTGGCAGAGTCTTCATAAAAGTGTTTTGGGAGAGGCACTCTGGTGTCATAAAAATACAATTAAATGTGAAGAGTACTGGATTACACTTCTAGTTATTAAGTAGTAGTGTAGTTGGAGACACTGCTTATAATTTTTTTGTGTGTGTGTATGTAATAAAACCAAAAATGCAGAATACCTTAAAATAAAAACATCTTTCTCTTGCTCTATCTTTACAACTACCTAGTCCCTGTTCTAAGGGTAATTCCTTGTTGTTTTTTCAAAAATTTTGCTTCTTGTAGAGGTAACATTCATAACTTTTCCAAGGCACTAATATGACTTTTGATCTATAACATATAGGTATTACCATTTCCTATCTGTTGAAGGTAAATATTAAACCCATTTATATGACCCTTACTTTTAATCTTCCTCTCCATTATTAGATTTTCAGTTGCTTATCATTGTTATTAAACAATTTTTAAAAAAATCTTTAGTGCTCATTTCAGCAGCACATACCATAAAATTGAAATAATACAGAGATTAGCATGACCCCTGCTCAAGGATGGCATGCATATTTGGGAAGTGTTTCAAATTTATGAGGAATTTGGGAAGTGTTTCAAATTTATTCAGCCTTTAAAAAAAGAGTGAAATTTTTACACATGCTGCAACATAAATGAAACTTGAAGGCATTAGGATAAGTGAAATAAATCAGATACATAAGAACAAATATTATATGATTCTACTTATACCTAAAGTAGACAAATTCATAGAGACAAAAGTAGAATGATGTTTGCTAGGAACTGTGGAGAGAGGTGAATGGGAAGTTGTCATTTAATGATTATAGAGTTTTAGTTTGGGAAGATAAAGGTTCTGGAGATGAACTGTAGAGAAAGCTGCGCAACAATTTTGAATGAACTTAATGCCACCTAACCACAAACTTAAAAATGGTCAAAATTGTACATTTTATGTTATTTATAGATATTATACATGTAGCATATAATTTAGCTCTTACCCATATCTTTTGATTTACTCTTTGTAAAATTAACATGTTTCTCCATATTTTTTTCAATTTTCACTCATTATACTAGATCTCTATGCACATACTTTTTAATAAAGTTATGTAGAAACAATAGTTGCAGACATTTTTGGGTGCTGTTACCAAATAATTTTTCCTTCTCTCTTATACGCGCATGCAGTGATTGAGCTTTCTGGACCTTGTGCATTTGATGCAGGCAGGTGACCACTTTTGGCAAATGAATTGAAGAACAGGAAATAGAGTCATGATCAGATCTGGGCATTTATAGGCAAAGTTATAATTCCTCTGCCACAGCAACTGGCACAGTTTGAGATGGGTGTTTTTTTTGTAGTTGTTTGTTTGGTTTTTTTTGTATGTTTGAAATTGCCTAATGATATTTTTAGGAGTAGGAGATTTGTTTGTTTGATTTTTTTCCATCTATGATTTTTGTGTAATTGAGGTCCTCTTTAAATAGAAAAACTTATGTATTTTTTCTAATATGCAAATATTTCCTGTATTTTATTTTGCTTATTTCCTCCTTTCTATTTTCCACTTTCTTCTCCCAGAGCTCACATTTATTAGATGTTGGCTATCTCAGGTTTTATTTTACCCATTGTATATTTTGTCATATTTTCTGACTCATTGTCCATTTTCCTCTATGTTCATATTGAGCTCCTTCACTTTGTTTTATTGATTTTTTTTTTTTTTTTTTTGGGTGGTATCTTTCAAATCTCTCTGAAAAGAATAGATTTTCTTTTTGAGTTTCTTCTCCTTCGTGAGTTATTTCTGTTTTCACAATAATTGTTTTATGTACTTATTTTCTCAATTTGGTGCTGCTTTTTTATATTCCTGAGTGATTATAGGTTATTTTTAGCATATTTAAAACAAGAGGTATTGGCTGACTTTTCCAAGTACTGAACTAAATGCTCTCTACTGTTGTGTAGGTAAGCTTGTTTTCCCCACAATATTTCTTCTTCAATCAGAAATCTGACCTGGCCAGCTAGGCATATAAATCACTAAGATGCCAGGCTTTTAATAAAGGATTGCCAAAGCAGGAAGAAATTTATTCTGTGATACCAGCACTCACTAGTGCTTCTAGTCCAACCCAATCAATACATTACATTTTTTAAATGAAGAGGTCATTATTTGCGTTATAATGATTATTGTCATTTTGCTTGGTTTTATTTTGGTTAGAATCAATGTGAACATTTTTGTATCCTTCTTATATCCAGGAACGTGGGAGAGAGAAGAGAGGAGCAGAGAGCTGATTGGCTTCTTGTCCCAGGGACGAAATTTTAATCAGACCCTCTACTCTCCCCTACCAATTTTGCACCCCTTTTGTAATTCCACCCTCTATGACTACCAATTTTTTCCAAAACCCTTTGGGGTTTGCTTGAAAGATTAGCTCCCTCTTTTCCTGCCATTCCTTTCTATGTTAATTTTTGACTGTCGATTCCTCAACCATCTTTGTTCAAATGTATCATTCCCATTCATTTTTTAATCTCTCAATAGTGTTTCAAAATCTGATATTGGATAACGATTATTCTCCCATTCTCTTTGCTGGTCAGGTTTATGGATTTAATTCTGTTTTTATTCTCCCACATTTTAGAGAAATAGAGGCAAGTGCAGGTACTTTATCACCATATTCAACCAGAGATCGTGTTATGTACTTGGAAAATTAAGAAATACATCACACTTTTTGCATCTGCAGTGGTACACAGTATGTCCTCAGTGAGAGCCACAAGCCATAAGTTTGAACAGGTAGAATGCAAGGAGGCATTATTAGTGTTACCTAGACACAAAGTACATCATGATAGTTTTAATAGTTTTTAAACCATTTGATAATAAAGCAGTAGGAACATGAGAAACAAATGAAAGCCAGGATTTCAGTCAATAGCCCTTTCTCCTGCTTTGTCTTTTTTTTTTTTTCTTTTTTGACTGGGTCTCAGGACAAAGTTGAACATGACCATCCCCAAATTCCATTATTAAACTAGCAGTTCTTCTTCTAAATGTAACTAATTGCAATGACTTAGTGGAATTGAAAATAAAAAATAATGATAGTAGTGAGTATCAGAAAAACTAAAACATTTTACTAGGTTTTCTATTTGCATTTTAGATGTTGTTTCTCAAAAAATCTCAAATTCAGGTTTTATTTTTGTGATTTCCTGCTTCTATAAATATTTCCCCAGTCATTTTCCTCAGTTCTTATAAGAATACATATGGTGCTCCTGAAAAATATTTTCACAAGTACTTGTGGGTGATTTATTGGTGCTTAAATCCATCCTATGTTTGGTGTATAAAATCGTGTCTACTCAAAATATTCAGTGTTGACAGCAACATGGTTTTCAAAATCTATCCAGGCCTCCCTTCTGTCCATCTGCTTTTATTAACTTCCCTTTGCTCTTGTCCTTCTTAAATTTCTGGGATTTCAGTGATGTAGTCCAGTTCCTGGTATATATCACTCATTCCCCCTACTTCTATATCCCATTTGGATCGTGGTTTCATTTATATCAACCATGACTGTCTTATTCAAAGTTATATGTCCAAACCTCCTTTGACTCCACATTCCTTAACATTTTTCCCAAACATAAAACTGATGGTTAGAGTCCTATAGGGATGGGAAGAAGAAACAAATGGCATTTCTCCAGCTGCATCTCTGTGTATCAAGCCAGAGTGAAATTTTACGTTACATTGAGGGAGAAGAATTGTTGGTCAAGCTAAAGTAGTTGTAATGCAAGGTGTGTGAAGTGCTAGAGAATACTGGAGCATGAAAACATCTGCTGGGGAAAAAAATCAACTGAAAATGGTGGAGGTGATTAAAAGAGACAGAGGCTAGTGTTCACAGCTGGGCTTTTGTGCATGGAGATACTTCATAAAATAGAATATTTGAATTTGAAATTTGAGTTTCATCCCACTTATTACCCATTGAAATCAAATATGAACGATTCATGTATTTACCAAGAATGCTTGGAATGCTTTGTGCTAAATATGATGGAAAATTCAATGACAACTAAGGTACTACCTTTGAAGAAACCTGGCAAATAGCAGAGAAGTGAGAGGTGAGTTTACATTTAATGGAGAAAGAGAAAAGAAGAAAGATGTGTCAATGTTTTGTAAGTGGCAGCATAAGTACTTTTGGACTAGAAAGGATACCCTGTGACTATGGCTGTAGATAGAAAAAAAAGAATTTTAAACCCTAGTTTTGGAGCCAATATAATCAAGGCAACCCTCAATACCTCTGAGGAGCACACCGGAGAAGAAAGATGACAAGGACAACTTTCCAGTAAGCTCTATCATGGTCCATGGCAGGGGATAAGAAAGAGTTTCCATTTATTGGAAGTACTGAGGGTAGCTAGAAAATAAATTCCTATTAATAACACTTGTTTGTTTGTCAAATAAGAGCACTTACTTAATAAAAGTATTTTTAATTAGGCCATCTGGTAAGTTATCTTGCATAATTACAAGTCCAAATCTTTCCATTGATGTTCTCCCGGAATAGTTTGAAGATACTGTTCTATTCCTTAAGTCGTCTTTAAAAATTAACAAGAGCCATAAATCACTGCTTATCCTTTGGCTCAGTTCTGGACGTTTCCTTAGACAACAATGCCATTAAAAAATTCTATTCATTAATGTGTTGGGTTATACACCTACAGTGAATTTCATTTATAATAGAGTCTTCCACTTAGGCATCTTGCCAAGGGAAAGGTCATTCTGTGAACGTCACTTATGTTCATAGAGAGAACACCCCATGCTCCCATTATACATGGCTGAGTTATTCTACTCAGAAGAACTGTTGCTTTCTCCTTTGTCATGTCTTCAATGTTCTAACAATTTAGAAATGTCTTCATTTCTAACTTCCAAGTGCACAGAGTAAGAGAAGAAAATGTCTCGTACAACAATAGTGTGCAACACAGGCTACAAAGCTCACAACCCAGGCAAGGTCAATTGGTACCAACTTGGTTTCTGAATTGTGAGGTTGGGTGAATTGTGAGGGAGGGTAAGACTCTACATCTGTGGCTGTCATACTGAGCACTGAACAACATTTAAGTGTGACATTCACAAAGACTATAGTGAATGAAACTCTGAAATTCTCTGGAGGCCTTATAGACCCTCTGTTCTTTGGCCACAAGCAGCAAAAGTAGACACTGAGGTTGTTTAGGGAAAAACAGAATTCCATTGCCACATAGAACAGAAAGTTGCATTGAGTTTTCAGGGTATGCTATATTAGTAACCTTAGTATGCCTATAGGAAAAATAGAAAAGAATATTTACAATTGAAACGTTGGTCTCATCTTATCCATTGAAATCAAACATAAATGATTCATTAACTTATCAAAGACACAATAGGCACACATTATGTACAATGCATTATGCTAAATGTTATGGAAAATCCAATGATGAGTAAGACAGTACCCTCAAAGGAACCTGGGATCTGACAGAAAATAGAGTTAAATAAGCATTTGATGGAGTGACTAAAGAACGGAAGAAGGCTAAAGAATCAAACTGTGATTTGAACATGGAGGTACCTAGCCTTAAAATTACAAAAAAATAAACAAAACATAAATTTTATAATATAGACCACA